ATCTATACGCAAGACTATAGCGGATATTTTAAAGACATTAAAGATTATATATATCTAAACGGTGAAAAATACCGTCCCCAAGATATATCACCTATCAATATTTTTAGCTTTGTTACACTCAAGAATGAAATTCTTGATTTTCTAGGATGGCCCTACTACATCTTAGAAAAACTGACTATTTTATACGCAATGTTTAACTTTATTGGATTTCTTTTTTCATTCTTAAAAGGAATCTATAACACATGTGCTATACACACACAAGTCAATAGACAAGCAAGTGTAGCACGCATACTATTTGCAGGATTTTTTGGAATTTTTTCTACATCAATAAACAAAATTCTTTTAGATGCACAAATAAAAGAATACAACACAAAAATAGCAACAAGACAGAACACATACGACGAAGAACATAACAATGTAGACACAACGCCAACAGCACCACAGTTACCACCCCTACCACATAACCATCCATTATCCCTAGTCCCACGTAATTTTCGAAACTTAGCAATAACACATAATCCAAATTTTAGACCAACCATATCACAAAGTCCCATCCAACATATAATGACACGCCACTCACAAGATGAAAATACTTATGAACAAATTATAGAACAACCCCATACCACCGCTTTTCAGTCTCAAAATAATAATTTTTTTAGCCCACGATGAGCCGACAACTTGGATCCCTACACCGTTCAAATTCCCACCCAACCAACCTCACTACTCCAATTACAATAATACCACTTTTTGCTTTCCCGCCACCCGATTTCCCAACCAGTAATGTAACATCAGGCATGAATTCCGATACTAATTCACACATCTCAGTTTTATATTGCACATCACAACTCAATAACCCGAATATTGAAACCCCCGATGAATTTGCCGACTCTGAACCATCTCCATCCAATAATTTTCACACCAACCCCTCAATTTTTTCCCACCCCCCTTTTCAACCAATGCTACCAAAAAACACCGTCCTCACCAATTCTACACCCTCTTATGCTTCCCAAGTCACTCCAACCTATTCTTCACATCATTCAGACCGATCATCCAATTCTCCAGATACCCCCCAAATCTCCCCAGAACTAGATAATTTTATTACATTACAACAACAACCCTACCACCTTGATACCCCCACCATAAACCAAATTTCATCCACAATAGATTCATCCAACCCTCCTACCCCTACACCCTCTTCAATTTATACCGAATCATTAGCACCATCATCCACATCTACTGAATCTTCACTCAGCACTAATAGAGCTTACCGCACTTTTAAAAGAAAGTTCCCCAACCATCCTTTCCCAGCAAAACCAGGAACAGCCCGTGAATATATAAATCACCCAAATCACACTAATACAAAAGAATTTTTAGCTATCAACTTACCCTCATTTCCACAATACACCTTAAACACCCCTCACGACACTAACGAGACACGTAACTTTGTAGACGAACACGTTTTAATGCCTACCCTTCCTTGGACGTTGGACCTCATATTATCATTTTACTAATCCCCTTTGCTTACCTTTATCTAACACTCACATCGATATAGAACGAAATAAGGACATGCTATATCGACTCACTACACCACTAACACCTAGACAATTTACTTACATCGGATATAAAAAATCACTAAAAACATACACTGCACCCCGAGCTAACGAATATACGCTAGAATATTACGATCATAACATCATCAGAACTAACCAAGATCAATTCTTAGACGACGATCGCTTCGTTAACCCACAAATCACAGAAAAATTTTTCATTAAAACACCATATGTATTTACACTCAATATCTTTGACCGCAAATTTGACCACATCATTTCAGAAGCACTAACAGACACACAAGCTTACGAAAGTTTTAAAGAACGCTTCCAAATATTTTCACAAACAAACTCACACATATACATATTATCGTTTTATCCAAAATCATTTCGACCTACACACCCCCTCCAGACAACCACACCACCGTTTTCAATTCATCAATTCCAAATACACCTCACCATTCTTTCTTAACTTCACATATTGCATTAAAGATACTAACCTTCATGGTATTCTTCGAAATTATGATCCCATAACCCAAATGTATATTTTTTGTCCCATCACCAAGACCTTCAACGCAGAAGAATCCCGACCCTTTCTTCTCCCACACGAATTTGTTCAACCTATAGAAATCCCCATTTTAGAATTCATCCACAACACTAAATTCAATCACAAATTATATAATCTAATCCAAAACACACCTTATGAGTTTGCAGTTGGCACTGAAGAACTAACCACCATTAAAGCACTTCAATTGCTTTGGCCACTGCTTCAAACTAAAAATATCATCCGCATCTTAGCTAAATTACTAACAACTTCAGATCTAATCCACGACATCTTCCCCCACGGTTTCTTCCCCGACGACTAATAGGTAAGTATGAACTATACATATTATTAACTAGTTATTAAAATTAGAAACTAACCATTCTTTATTCATGTCTTCTTTAGAATTTTAGCCTTCATCCAACGATCATCTGAAAAATTCACAAAAGAAAATGAAAATTGAAAACTTCTTCAAACTGTTTAAAACTCTATAAATTTTTTGCACCAAATAATTAAATAAAAATAATACCAATGCAATAATTTAATTTATAAATTTTTTCCCAAATGCAGTAGTTCAAATAATGATGAAAATTTGTAACTTAATTTTCCCCAACAACTAGCAGTAAAATTGAAATTCTATGTAGTAAATTAATAAGAAGCAAATGCAGTACCAACCTTTTGATATTTTCATTCACTCGCACAAGAATTCTATCCAAATTCGCACAGCTCGCCCACGAAGAATTGTTTAAATAATGAATTTCAGTTTCAAGCTTTCACACTCAACAACTCTAACACACGATAACAAGTTTCAAACTTTCCTTTAACCCGGTTGGAAAGGAATTATATACTAAACAAAACTAACCAATGCAGCTTACTAAACACCACAACACATAGCATAACAGCATGACTAAGAAAAGGAAACCAACGGTACCCAAACCGGATTAACCCAGTTTAAAACTGGATAATTTATTCTTTTGAAGACTATTATAAAGTCTAAGAAAGAAATAATAAAACACAAAAAAGTCGAAAGACAAACCCATACCACAAACAATTTGATTTTTGAAAAAAGGACACAACCAACAAAACATAAGAAAAACCACAACAAACCCAACATAAAACGTTGTCACATCACAGGACCTCTCACAAAAACCGCATGCAATCATACTCCCACTCCTGGCCTAACCCACCAGAAGAGGACGTCCTGAGCATGCTCTATAGCTGGCCTAACCCACCGCGCTACATCCACGCTTTGTGACACACACTCCTATTTTTAATAAGAGCTACTCAAGGGTGAGTAACTCTTCAAAATAACTGAACTAAAACAAAAAAGCTTTTGTGAAAACAACTAACCAAAATCATAATTAAAAAACATTAAACTAATAAAAGTTTTATAAAATGTAAATTATATTATGCAATATATAGATCAGCATACAACACCAAAGACGAACATCCAAAGACAAAATGAACCCACTACACTCGAAAAAGAATGGCCAACCACAATCAATATGCCGCCCACAATCACAACTCAAAGGATTTAGAGTACGACTTGACTTCGCAGAAAAGGACTTCATTGAACTAGACCAATGACCACCTCGATGTTCAAGTATACGTACAGATCCGAGTAACCAGGCATCCCCTCCACGCACAATCTCCACGCCATTCCCAGACAAGATCAAAACACAAAGAAGTTCTCATCAATGAAACAAAAAACCTGACATAGCCAACCATTCTGAAATCAGATTTGAGTTTGTTGCGAAAACCCAGTCGTTGTCATGAGAAGACACAACGATCGAACCTGGAACTTCTCTAACAAGAGAACCCAGAAGAAATATGATGTTCGCCAAACACCAACGTCCATCATCCATCCTTTGAATTACAGAAAGACTATTCTAAAAAACTCTGCAAAACCCGGATGGGTGGAACCTGATCTAAACTACATTTTATGATTGGATAAATTAGATATTTTACCAATGTAAAGTATTTAATATTAACCAATCATGATCCATCTGACTAACAATCCACTTATTTGTAAGTGCTGAAATTACTTGTAATTTCAGCACCAGAGAGATTTGAATTTAACTTAGAAATTAGTTGACTCTCCAAGAAGACTTCAGCAACCGCAATAAACCAGTATACCCTAGATCTATTGAGCCTAGCAGAGACTAGTTAAACAACCTGAGACTAGATAGTATAAGAGTAAGATTAGGATTGGTATTAGACTAAGAAGTTGCACGAATCTATCCGGCCGAAAATAAGATAGCGTGACGAGCAGACGGTGTACCCTATCCGAAATTACTCTATGAGTTATACACTTCGGTCCTAACTCAATACTAAGAAAAGACTTCAACAGGACCTCAAACGCGTTTAACAAAGCAACAGTGACAATGACTCGAGAAACTATTTGTAGATTGCGTTCAAGTTGCTATTAAGTTATACACACAGGCGAAGCTCTAGTCACGAATAGAGCAGCTACATATGCTAATAAATTGCCAATGCCTTTCAGCAAAAGTGGCACCAAATACAAATAGACTCAATTTTGCAAGTAATATTTTGGAATATAACAAACTGAAGGCATCCACACTAACTTTTCATGTAAAAATCGCAAAGCATAAAGCCACATTATGGATAAAAATACATTCCAAAAAACTGCAAGATACATTGAGTTAGAAAATTTCTGAGATCGAGTTTTGATTATTGGTATGTTCTTCCAAACAAATCACTTTTTTCGGTTCATTTGATGAATTAAAAATGCATCAACAGTGTTAACTTATTACTATTCGAATGTCAAAGCACATGCTATGAAACAGCTGTAAAGGTGCCCCAAAAATGGGACCAATATTTGCGACTTAGGTTGGAAAAAAAAGAAGGTTCGTATTAATACACTCGCTTCGCAAGTGTAATCAACGTCATACCTCAAAGCCCAGCCCATTCAAGAAGCCTCCGCACTCCAAAGCAATATACGAAGCCCCGACTACGACCGTCTTCCCCGGCGGATATGGCAGTGAAAAAATATCGTCACTTGTGATCGCGTAATCTTTGGCACCTGCGATATCTGGGTAATTTGGTCTCATCCCAACAGCTATTATAAATTTATCAGCCGTATGGAAGGTCACATTGCCTCGTTTATCCACCGCTTTCACTGTATGTTGGTCGACGAATGTCACATACGCATTGATGTATTTCACACCTTTGTCTCTTAACGAAACTCGAAAACCGAAGTTTTGGGATCCAATATAATCCTGAACTTTTTCGACGAGCTCTTCCCAAACATGAGTTTCGGTTTCACCTACTTTCCAGCCGTAAATCTTCGCATCATGAATATGTTGACGCAACAAAGCTCCTTGATGCATTAGCTTTTTCGGAACGCATCCCACGTTTACACACGTGCCTCCCAAACCCCAAGTCGTTCCAACCGGGGTAGGTTTTACAAAGTCAAAAACCGCGACTTTTGCACCGAGAGCTGCCGCTCGTTTTGAAGCCGCTAGACCTCCCGAGCCACCGCCGACAACGATAAGATCGTAGTCATACTTTTCTGAGATCTCCGTTTCAGTTGGATTGACCACTGGAGCCATGTTTTCTGTTGATATTTGACTTTTCAAGGCACCTTTGCAAAAATTTGCTTTTGATGACAGAACTGGATTCAATGTTGAAGTTTGTATAGCTCTGCCTGATGGGCAGAATCACGCCTTCCTGCTGAAGATGAAAAAAAACACTGCAAACACTGTTGCTTTTTACAACATGAGCAGACTGAAATAAAAAAAACATAAAATCGAAAAATAATGGTACAGAAAGGCTAATCAGAGCTTCACACAACTTGCTATTAAAACCGAGTGGATATCACTACTAGCAGATGAACCGAAATATCGAAAAAGTTCTTATTTGCTCTTTCAAAAAAATTCGAAATCTTGGAACTGAATCACTTAATTCTGGAAATTTTCTTCGCACAACTTGCAACATAACCCGCTGACATTTTTGCTCCGTATAAAGAGCACTGTCTACGGTACCTCACTCTATTCTACTTATTTATTTATATCCGTATTATAAACATATCTTACTATTCATTGTAAATTTGATCCAAGGACATATCTCACCAGCCTATTCGTCTGTCACTTTGGTTTGCTAAAATGCCAGTTGCGAAAGCCTTAAGTGTGAAATCTAGTCATAAAGAAAAACGATTGTGAAACTCTGGAAAACTCTTGTGAAACTTCAAATCTGGAAACTCTTAATCTATATTCGTTACTCTATTCTATTTATTTATAAATCTTATTTAATTCAGTATTCTATTTTTACAACCAAGTTTTCCCGTCACGATCTGAGGGAAATGTCATGGCGCAGCCAGCAGTTCCTGTGAATGAAGACAGGACTGACCTACTCGGAATTTCCCAATTTTTGGCTAGATTATCGGTTAACCCACCGTTTATTTGGGAGACATGGGTGGGACAATTTTTCTTGGCCATTAGTCTAAAAGACAATATCTCACCGCGGGAGGTGTTAGTTGCCCCAGCGGCGTTGGTGGATGAACCTTACCCGAAGCTCCGGGACCCGATGAGAATGAAGCAGACGCCGCTAGTAGGACCCTTCGCAATGCAGCAGCGAATAGAAGAATCGACGAGTATAACGACGAAAGGAGACGGAAAGGCCCTCGTATCGTTCATAATTGGTATTATCACGAGGCAGAGGCGCGTCTAAACTATAGACTCTTTTTCTCATTGGGTAACGCGGGACAGAAGAGATTCCTGGATTCCTATCCTCATTTGGACCTAAACACATGCTCTTTCATCGATTTCCACAAAAGCTGTGAAGATCTCTTCAAGGCAGAGCGAATGAATCAAATTGTATAATACAATTTTTTTACAGGAGAATGATTCGTTTTCTTCATTCAAACGCACGCCTCAGCTTGCTGGTGTGGACTCCTCTCCGTGGAGCAAGTGGGGACGCACGATTCATTCTGTGCGGCAAAGATTCACACAGGGGCACCGGAAAAAGGAACTTATGGAAACTGGAAACGGAATCCGAAGCAACCTCCCGAATGCCAACGGAGTGGAAAAGGCCCAGCCGACCCTTTCACCTCTCACAACAATCGAAGGCTTTGGCCTCCCCAGACCAGGGAAGGTGCGGATCAAGGGTGCCGAAGAAAGACCGGGTTTTTCTCTGCCGGACCAGGTAAACCAGCCCACCTGGCCCGGCTGTTAGTAATGGCTGGAGACGTGGAAGAAAACCCAGGACCGTACGAATGTGGGATGTGTCAAAAGAGAGTCAGTGGATGCAGCATCAAATGCACATGGTGTATGAAATGGATACACCAGGTATGCAGCGAAATGACACGTGGCCAAATCCGACAGATCGCAGGAAAGGAACGCTACGCTTTCGAGTGTAGAAAGTGCAGGGAACCCAGTAAAACGACGGGAACAATAGTTCCTGGGACACCTGACGAAACTGTCCCCCGAGCTCTGAGGTCCCAGATAGAGCAGAGAGATCTCACAGAGTCCGCAGGGGGAAGCGAAGACACCCGACAGAAGATCACAAGGAAACGCGCAGAAGGCGAAAAAAGACAATACGAGAAAACCGAAGAGCCAAACGCACCAAACACAAACCCCAAAAAACAAGGAGAATAGTGACGTGGAACCTACAAGGCATCTCCACAAGAGATCAAAATCGCAGCCTCCTTAGAATTGCAGTAGAACATGCAAGACAGCAAAAGTGGAAGGCGGTAATGATTTCCGAAATACGATCGGAACAGGAGGGGATAATATGGCTAGGAGACAAACCAAACCAGGCAGTAGTCATACACTCACAGAAATGTGGAGTTCTCCTGTTAAACGATTTACTGGAAGAGTGGATAGCCAGCGGACAACAGAAAAGTTTCTCCGAGCGGGTCACAGCTGTGCAGATCGGCAGGCTCCGCCTCATCGCGACCTATCAGCCCGTGGAGTAAGCGACCTGAGGAAATTGAAAAGTTCAGGAAAGATTTGGTAAATGAGCTTGCACGAACTCCAAAAGAGAGTGTACCCATACTGGGAGGCGATTGGAACGCGCAAGTTGGAAGAGGGAGTCAAAGACAGGGCATAAGTGGGAAGTACGGCCTAAAGACAGATACAAATGAAGCGGGAGAAAGTCTACTGGATTGGTGCGAAGAACACCAGCTACAACATGTCAACTCCTACTTCCCAATACGCTCCCGAGGAACATGGTTCAACCAGATGCACAGACGTTGGTACGAGCTCGACGGTTTCTTAATGAGAGCATCCGACCGCCACCAAATGGTCCGTAGGGTAGCCACGGCGCAGGACATGGCATTATCGGACCACAAACCCGTCTGGATTGACATATGGCGCGAACAAAAAAAGCGGCGACCCAGAATAGAAAAGAAAAGAACACCGCAGATAGACTGGGAACGCATGAGAAACAAAGAAATGGCGGAAGCATACCGCAAGAAGACGGAGGAAAACTCAACAACGAGGAAGACTGGAACTCCATAATGCGGAAGCTCACAGAGGCAGCGGAGGAAGTATGTGGCACAAAGAAACGACAGATAGCCAACCCGTGGACAGTGGGATACGAAGAAGAACTGAAAAGCCTACACACGGAAATCTCAACAGAAGTAATGCGCAGAAACGAGCTGATCAGCCAAACACTTGGAGAATCACATGGCATGCTTGCCGATGCCCTAACGGCATCAAGAGGAAGACTGGTAGCCGCACGCAAGAAGATGAAGAAACGCCTACGACAACTAGAAAGACTATGGTGCGACGAAATCATCATTGAGTGCGAAAACGCAGCGGAGAAAGGGGACATGGGTACCATGTACAAAACTTTAAGGAAACTGGGAACAAGATCACAGAAACACCAGACAGGTACCACTATCTCTACTGACGAATTCAAGGCCCACTTCAGCAACGTATCGAAGGACCGATATGAGAACGACCCGGGTACTTTGATGAACACAGTCAAACAGATGCCAGATAAAAGCAAAGACGTCAAGTTCATAACAGCCAACCAGAAGCTGAACACCCTTCCGTCCGAGAAAGAAATCATGGAAGCACTGGATGAGGTGAGAGAATCGGCGCCAGGCAAGGACGTGGTCCGCATGGTATAAATTCGCAACGCATACTGGAAATGGAGGGAGAAAGTCATCCACCTGTTGATGAGAATGTTCACGACCAGAGCAGACCTGTGGGAAGAGTCTCTAAAGAAAGGCCAAATAGTACCATTGCACAAAAAAGGGAACATCAATGACGCCAACAATTTCCGAGGTGAGTGCCTGCTCTCAATGGCTAGTAGAATTCCAGCAAGAGTGATCGCAAACCGCCTGAGAACATGGAGCGAAGAACTCCAGGTATTGGACGAAAACCAAAGCGGGTTTTGACCAGGCAGGTCCACGGCAGACGCAAGCCAGATCTTCATAAGAATAAGAGAGGACGTGGAAGATCTCAGGAGACGGAGGATAAGAGCCGGAATCTCAGTAGAAGCCAACACAGACCCAGAAGCCAGACTTTTAGACCTAACAAAAGCTTATCCGCGGGTCAGCAAACCAGTCCTGTGGGCGGTCTTGAGGCGCTACGCGATGGAAGGCCCGTTTCTGGACACACTGATGGATTTGCATGAAGCCATAACCTATAGTCTAAAGGGCAAAGAGGGCGACAGCGAAGAATGGACCCCCAAAAGAGGGTTAAGAGAAGGTTGCCCATCTTCGCCTTCACTGTTTAACATATACCACCAAGTAATGCGAATGCGACAAGCTGAGAAAGCCAGACTAGACAGAGCCGAGGAGAAAAGTACAAACGTCGGGATAGCGTGGACGTGGATGCCGGGAAACCGCTTCCCAGGAAAAAAACATGGTAGAAACGCACAACAGTGAAACCCAAACCGCACGAATATCATTGTCCCTGTTCGCAGACGACACCACCCCCATCGGCGAGAAGGAAGAAATAGAGTCTGGAACAGCAACAATAAAAGAAGTTATGAAGAACTTCGAGGAGAAAAACAACGAAGAGAAAGAAGAGAAACTAGAATTCGGAAAGGACAGAGCAGGTGGCATCAGAATGCTAGGAGTGTGGATCGGGGCGAAAGAAGACGTTAAGAACAGAAAAAGACGAGCAGGAGGACTATGGGCAAAGGTCAAGCGCCGGCATACAAAGAGCAGGCTGCCGAAAAGAATCCAGGCTAGAGTTGTCCAATGCTGCGTAGAAAGCGGCTTATTGTTTGACGCCAACGTAAGGACATGGAAAAACTCGGAGTTAAAGTCTTTGCAAAGTTGGATTGACCGGTGATATAGGCACGTCTGGAGCTCAAAATCGAAGCCGCCATTAATTGAAATGCAAGAAAAAGGAGTGAATATGCAGGACATCAGAAACCAACTGAACATCAAGACGATCCGATGGAAAGTTGAAGGAAGAACTCTAAAACGAATAGGCCATGTAATGAGAAAGGACGACAAAAGATTGACTAAAGCAGCTTGTCTAGGGTGGCTAAACGATCTGCAAACCCTACCGAAATGTCCGGGGAAAAAAAGACATAACACTACTCTACTGGCGGAAGCTCATCAGAGAAGCGGGAATGGATGTGAACGAGATCGACAAACTGACTCAGGACAGAAAAGTATGGAGGCGAGCGATGAAAGCACGAATGGAGCACCTGCATAAATGGGAAAAGTCAAATGCGAAATGGTAAAACGGTGAAACGACAGAAAGGAACTCCTATACCCCCAAGCAACATCGAACACGTGTGAGATATGTGAGAGGGATTTCAAAAACCAGGGCGGCCTGAGA